CATGATCTAGATATGATATCACTAAACACTTGGTGTTCATGATCTAGATATGATATCACTAAACACTTGGTGTTCATAATTACAAAACACTTGGTGTTCATGATCAAGATATGATACCACTAAACACTTGGTGTTCATGATCTAGATATGATACCACTAAACACTTGGTGTTCATGATCTAGATATGACCATTAAACACTTGGTGTTCATGATTTAGATATGATACCACTAAACACTTGTTGTTTATGATCTAGATATGATACCACTAAACACTTGGTGTTCATGATCTAGATATGACCATTAAACACTTGGTGTTCATGATTTAGATATGATACCACTAAACACTTCCTGCAGCGGAGTTGTTGTTGTCACCAACTTTGTCATTTTTTCCCTGTAGGATATTAGCTCTTCTGTTAAACAGTTATGTAAGATAATACACCTATTTTTCTCAGTGGATCGGCGGTAAATCTACAGGTTTACGACGCCAAAAATCGGGTTTGGATACCCGTGGTAGTCACCGCACAGATAGCTAATTGTGTAGCTTGTGGTTTAACAACAATCATTCAATCAAACTTAAGACCAAATGTTAAAAAACTGTAATAAATAATAATCAAAAACTATTGGGTAAACCTGGTGGCCCATCAGTGAACTTATTTTGTAATTAAAAATGACGTTGAAACTTTTTCCTATTTAAATAATAAACTAAGGTTAGAAGTAGCAATTAGTGCGTTATAAACAAGCTGGTAAAATATGTGAGTTACAAGTGTGACGGTCAGATCCGATCAGGAAATAGTGGTGGGAGATTTTGACTAACGCTGTAGTCTAACAATTAAAAATTGGGGACGGATCGTAGATAATGCTTTTGTAATTTTGGAAGAAAATTTAAAAAGAAACAAGATACCTCATGTGATATGTCTGCTTAAACATCGCTCTATGGGGGCTGCTTAATAATTATTCTAGGTGGCCTGCTTAATTATCGTTCTGTAGTTAGCCTGATTATCCACGCTCTTGGGGAGCTGCTTAATCATGTTCTAGTTATCCTGCTTAATAATCGCTCTGGGGGGGCTGCTTCATTGTTTTAGGCGGCCTGCTTACTCATTACTCTATGTGGGTTACTTAAGCATCGCTCTGGGGGAGGGGCTGCTTCATTGTTTTAGGTGGCCTGCTTACTCATTGCTCTATGTGGGTTACTTAAGCATCGCTCTGGGGGGGCTGCTTCATTGTTTTAGGTGGCCTGCTTACTCATTGTTCTATGTGGGTTACTTAAGCATCGCTCTGGGGGGGGGGGGCTGCTTCATTGTTTTAGGTGGTCTGCTTAATTATCGTTCTGTAGTTAGCCTGATTATCTACCCCTCTAGGGGAGCTGCTTAATCATCGAAATACAGCTTCCTATAGCCCACATCATATTACACAACACCGGTATTATACACCAGAAGATCAAGGGACACACATTCCTATACAATAAATCTTATTAACCAGCACTGGTATTATATACCAGAAGATCAAGGGACACACATTCCTATACAGTAAATCTTATTAACCAGCACTGGTATTATACACCAGAAGATCAAGGGACAAACATTCCTATACAGTAAATCTTATTAACCAGCACTGGTATTATACACCAGAAGAGCAAGGGACACAAATTCCTATACAGTAAATATTATTACCCAGCACTGGTATTATACACCAGAAGAGCAAGGGACACAAATTCCTATACAGTAAATATTATTACCCAGCACTGGTATTATACACCAGAAGATTAAGGGACACAAAGTCTTTAATTTAGCAGTTAAAGACAAGAGGGAAGGCAGTTAGTCATCACCACCCACCGCCGACTCTCTGGCTACTCTTGGACCAATGAAGGTATCAATTAAAATTAATTGCCCATATCTCCTTAAAGTTGCAGAAAATGTGCAAAGTTTTTAATTCAAGCTATGAGGATGTTCACAAAGAGCATGTGTATCAATTTTAACATGTCAACACGGTTATGTATGTATTTATCCCTGCCACATTAATTATACATACGACATATATGACTGTAAGTGTACTTTAACAGATTGTGACATCATACTTGTGTTTTGTACTCATCTTGAAGGTTATAAGAAGTGTTTTCTCAGTATGTAAGTTTGCCCACTTTTAAAGGTACCTTAAGTGTGTGTGTGTAATTACAAGATTTCTTACCGTTCAGCTATAGGCCTTATATACATATGTAGGTATTATGGGCATTGAAGTTGAAATGCTAGTGTTTAAACACCTCCCCCCTTCTTTATCAGACTCTGCTTTAAAAGTCTTGGTTACCTGATAAATTCATGTCTCTTGTTTGAGACAACGTGAAGTTGAAATGCTAATGTTTAAACCCCCCCCCCTTCTTTATCAGATTCTGATTTAAAAGTCTCGGTTACCTGATAAATTCATGTCTCTTGTTTGAGACAACGTGAAGTTGAAATGCTAATGTTTAAACGCCCCCCCCCTTCTTTATCAGATTCTGAATTAAAAGTTTCGGTTGTCTGATAAATTCATGTCTCTTGTTTGAGACAACGTTTATTTTGAAGGATGAACTTACTGACGTTTTTCTTTAGCTAGGTCATTTTTAGGTTTCACGAAGATTAAATATTGGCACTCGCTGTGTTGTACTATAGACTTTAAAATCAGCATTTCTCGAAACGATTTATAATATTTATTCGTTAAAATATTCAGCTCTGAGAAAACTTAAGTTTTCAATGGTTTATACACCAATATCTGAAAGTGTGTTCCTTCATGTCATAAATAATTCTGTACACATTTACCGTGTTTTAATCTTTTCTGTAGTTAGAGAAACGTTTGGATGTTTAACGTACCTTACAGATCCAAGTAACATCCACGCTTATAGAGACCTCTTTTTTACCACTAAATAACCGTTAAGAGAAGCCTTGTTGTTTAACCCGTTTTCTGCAGCATTTCTGTACGCTCTACTCACGTTAAACTTCGAGAATATGCACGTGCGTCAGAGGGAGTAGTTATCATTTCCTATTTACTGGAGTAACGCGATATGGTACAGGAGTTGAGAAATTACTTTTAGAACCAAAAATAGACGTTTCTCCAGAATCTCGGATGTTCACGTGTTTCTTTAAAATGTCAAGAAAAGTAGCTTAGCTGTTCTAGAGTATTTTGGGAAGGAGCTACCAGTAAGCCTTGTTCTTGGTCGACTCTGGCGATCCGAGAAACTCTGTTGTTATTTTTTCTTGCCTTTTTTGGGTATCACTTAGTGCGTGCATATCAATATCTTCTTTGCCGGTTACCGTCTGTGGCAGTAAAATTGTTTTACAATATTTGCCTGGCAAAGTAATAGTTGTTTGATTTGCTAATAACAATGTTATATACATATTGAATGTATTGATTACTGTCAGTACTAACTTTGACTAATTATGTATCGCCTCCTAGTGACTCAGCGGTAAGTCTGTGGGTTATAGCGTTAAAAATCGGGTTTAGATAGTCGTGGTGGGTACACTAAAGACAGTTCATTGTGTAGCTTTGCGCTTAACAACAAACAAACTTATTTATGTAACATTCCTAATTAAAACTAAATAATGTACACAGTTGTCTTATTTTGTACGTTGATTTCTTGGAGAATTAGAGGTATTTTCTAAGTTAGAACAGTAATGTCAGCCCACACTGAATAAGGCAGTAATATCAGCCCACACTGAATAGGGCAGTCATATCAGCCCACACTGATTAAGGCAATAATATCAGCCCACACTGAATAAAGCAGTAATATCAGCCCACACTGAATAAGGCAGTAATATCAGCCCACAAAGCTACTCGAGGGCTACCTTCGCTAACCGTTCCTAATTTTGAAGTGATTAGTTAGAGAGAAAGGAGCCGATCGTAGATAACTTATAGATTAATATAATCGAATAGTGGTATTTGACAGTCACTACTATAACGTATCCATAGCTCCAAACTTCAGAGTGCGAGTATTTTATTTTTATTTTTTGTATCAACGATCAGTTTTCGTTCCTTGAATATATTTGTTGCTTCACTTTTATCAACCAAAGTTATCTTTGCATTGTTGACAAAGTCCTTTCACGTTGATTTAATTCAGGGGCTTCACATACTCGAAGAAACTTGTAGAATAACAGAACGAAGTAGCCTCTATGCCACGTTTAAGATAGGATAAAATCCACCCTATCTATTCAGGAAATATTTTAATTCTTTGATAAGAAAACAAAGCTAATGATTTTAAGCTCGTGCCAGTTTATCACAGTATTATAACGACCAGTAAACAATAACGTAGCTACGAAAACGTTAGCTCTTTGGGAAAGTTTATAGGTTAGAGAGGCTGGAAATATAATTAACCGCTCTCATCACAATAAAGTAGGGTGTTGTCTGTCGGTCAGTCAGTAGACACTAAAATGACGTCACATAAGGGACGCTTAAC